CGCTCTTCGTCAAAGCGTCCGACGCACGATAACGTCCGAGCTCTCTTCGATATTCCACGACGATCGAGAGAACGAGAAATCCCAATTACATGTATGTACAAGCTCTCAACCCATGAGATAAACACACCTACAGACACCCGCGCACGCAATACACATTCAAAAATCCCATATAATATTATATCTTTGTATCTCTTGGGTAACCCCCCACCCCCACCCCCCATCCCACCCCACCCCGTAACAAATATACAACATATACTCTATATATGGACCACTTCACTTGGCAAATAAATCGCAAAAGCTGCTCGCCAGGTTCACCTGACGCGGTGCGCCTCCGGTGCAAACAAGCTGCTCGGGCTGGCTCTAGCAACATCCAAGTCCTCTACGTCATCCTGGTCCTCACCCTCGTGGGCGATGTCGCTGCATGGCGAACGGCTCATGGGCGAGCCGCCACCGCTACTATGCGAGTGAGAGTGCGGCCTCTGTAGGAGTATTTGGTGCTGATGATGGTGGCCGAAGCCCAGCTCCCGGATCCGCGTCCCGGACATGGACAAATCCTCGGGCTCGGTTTGCTCCGGCAAGTCGACAGGTATGCCGGAGAGATTGAGCGGAAGGACGGGCGAGGCGCCAACGAGGGCCGAGGGTGAGGGCAACTGGCGCATGGCCGGGGCTGCGGCTCTCCTGAGACTCGGGGCACTAATATGCTTGTGACGGGCGAGCAGCGAGTCCTCGTCCATCTCCACGTCGACGTCAACATCGAGACCGTCCTCGAGGTCGTCGCCGCAGATGAGGGAGGGCGAGCCCGGGTGTATCGCTCTGCCCAGCTGAGCGCTCACGAGACTCGCGGGTAGAATGGTCGAGGTCGCGGAGCTTCCGCCCCCTGCGCCGCACTTATGATGGACCAAGTGGTGCCTGCGACGGAAGCGCATCTGACAGTGCTCGCACTTGAATGGCTTTTCGTTCTTGTGGATGAGGAGGTGAGCCTTCAGTTGGTTCGAGTCGCTGAACTTGGCCGCGCATAGCTCGCAGGCGTACGGACGCTCGCCCGTGTGGACGCGCAGGTGCCGACGAAGATTCGCGACCTGGACGAATTGTCGATCGCAGTGGCTGCAGTGATACGGTTTCTCGCCCGTGTGCAGGCGCATATGCGTCTTAAGGTGATGATCGCGCGTGAATCTGTAAAGTTAACGAATTAGATTGGTGAGGATTACGTCGACGTTTCGTGCTTCACACTCGTTCGGTGCCATCCGTTAAAAGAGTGAGTGTCGAATGCAAATATATGCCTACCTCTTGTGACATTCGGGGCATTTAAATGGCTTTTCTCCGGTGTGTGTCCTCTCGTGATTCTGCAGCACGTGCTTGTAGCCAAAGGACCTGGAGCAGACGCCGCAGGTGAAAACTTTATCCCTGGCGTCCTTGCCGGACTCGGGGCTGGCGGAACTGGGTGGGCTAGAGGCGCCCTCGATTTGCGTAACCTGCTGCTGTTGATGTTGATGTTGATGTTGATGCTGTTGCTGCTGCTGTCGACTCAGTTGCGCTTGGCTGCCGGCATCGTGAGGATTACTCTTGGCCACCTTGGCCGCCCTCTTTCTCAAGTTAGCCTGAGCCTTCTTGTTTATCCTGTCGCCGCTGCTCGACACTAGATTATTGTTGTTGTTACTGCTGTTGTTGTTGTTGTTGTTGTTGTTGTTGTTGTTGTTGTTGTTGGAGATGGGCATGGCGCGCACGCTGTGCGCGGACTTAGCGCTGAGTGCCGGCGAGACGGGACCAGGGGAGGGATGGGGCGGCGAGGCGGCCGATGGCGGTACCCAACCCCCGAACAGCGTCTGGTGATGCCTGTAGAGGCTGGGACTCGTGGCCGCGAGGCTCGCGTTGAGCGACACCGGGATACCCGCGGCCATGAGCGCGTGGCTCATGTGCGACGCCGCGAGGAGCTGCTGGGGCGTGAGCATCGATAGGGAGGCTGCGGCCGCGGCGGCTGCACCCATCCCCGAGAACAGGGACGTCGCCGAGGCTGCTGTGTTGTTGTTGAGGGACGGTGAGGACGGCCGGCGAAGCCGTTTCTCCGATGGTTCTTGCTTCATGCCCAGACCGTGACCTGCCAAGAGTCCTGAAACGGCGCAACAATGAGCTGACGTTATTATGATTTCTCTTAGTATCCTCGTATCGTAATCCTCGAGCATCGTACGAACGAGCCAATGGCAATAAGACTAATAATATTTCCAAGTAATATTTTAAGGGCGCGCGAGTGGCCTAGTCGTCGTCTTCCAAGTGATATATACTCATCGAGCCACTAAAGACGTAATTTAATCTAGTTTTTATAGGGCGTAAAAACGTGAAATAGTTAGGTTGAAATAACTATTTTGAAATAACCTCGCATGAAGAGTGATGATAGAAAAGCCTAAAAATAAGCGGATAAACTTCATTGAGATCCGGTAAGGTCGTCTAAAGAATCGACTAAAAATGCAGGTATAATGGAGCGGTGGTGTTGGTGTGCTCACGTTTACACAAAAATGGTGCTCGCGCAGCGCCGTAGAAGGTAAGGAAAAAGACAACCGTTGCACAACGTTCCTCCGCGGTTTATCGGTTCTCGATTATCAAAATGAAAAAAAGTCGAAGGCGCGCCCGTGTTGCTGCAACCAACCCATAACGAAAAAAGCCCGAGATGATAACCCGTTTTAGTTTTGTGACAGCGCGCCTCTTTTTCTTTTTCTTCTTCTTCTTCTTTGTCTCCTCCTCCTCCTCATCCGCGAAACGACTTTCCCTCTCTCACGACCGGCGCCACGCACGTGAGCCCACTACTACTACTACTACTACTACTACTACTACTACTACTACTACTACTACTACTACTACTACTACTACTACTACTACTACTACTACTACTACTACTACTACTACTACTACTACTACTACTACTACTACTACTACTACTACTACTACTACTACTACTACTACTACTACTACTACTACTACTACTACTACTACTACTACTACTACTACTACTACTACCTCCTCCTCCTCCTCCTCCTCCTCCTACTCCTACTCCTACTCCTCGTCCTCCTCCACCCCCCTCCCGCCCTTTCATTCACATGTAGCGCGCACACGCGAGATTTCATTCACGTGCGAGCTTAGCATGCGTATATATGTACAATCGCCAGCCAGCCAGCCACCCACGCGACAGCGCCCACTTCCTCGACTTTCGAGGCCAACGACTTTGTATCTATGCATATCAACGAGATCTTGCCTTTGCACCGAAACACTCGACTCCCCCCCCCCCCGGGCTTTCTATACATTCACGCTTTCTTCGTTATTAGCTATTTATCCAATTTTATCGGTACGCAGCGATAATCTTTTCCTTTTCAAATGACCATCGACGAACTTTTCCAAGCCCCAGAACCTGTATTATACAAGCGACACGATCTCACGATCAACGCCATTGCCGTAATACGCAGATCTATCGATAAGCTGGAACTGCTTTGTATAAATAATATCTCATTTAAGCGAGTACTTTAGGATAAAGTTGTTTGCTTTACAAAGCAACACGCCCGCGTACTACCAACAATGTAACTTTACCTCCCCATTCGGGAACAATTCATGACTTTTTTTTTAATACGACCCATCCCGCTAACATTCGTTATCTAATTATGAATTGTCGCTACGCGTTATTAATAGCTTGCGCAACTAGTGCTTTTGCTATACGGACAACTGATAATTCATAATGCAAGTGACACGCGTCCAGTTAGGATACTACCAATTAGGATAAAACGAAAATATGAACCCGTCGCAGCTCATCGTTCCCGAACAACATCTCGTTTCTCGCGCGTATGTGGGCTATCTTTCCATCCTCCTACGCCTCATCGCACCTCACCTCACCCCCAACAATTCCAAATAATCACTAATGAGCCAACGATGATCATCTCCGAGTCTCATCCCTTTCGCCGTAACGGCATAATTGACTACGTTCCGCCGAGAAACGTATAATCATCGTTGATCCGCGCGGTGGTCCATCGCTAATTTAACTTTCTTCGATGTGGCCGCGCGTCATTTCCTTGATAATATTTCTAATATAAGGCATTAAACATCCCGAAAACGCTAGGTAAAATATAAGGATAATGCGACGAAATCTATGAAAAATCCAATCATTCCATTATCAATACAATAACGAGCAAATTATTGTTCCCGCGAAAGATAAAAACTGAAAGGAACGAAAATAAGAGAACATCCGCCTACTCCTCCTCGTATAAACATGAGCACGTAACGAACGAGACACGAGCCGCCGAGCGCTGTCGTTGTCTCTTCGCTCCATCGTAATAATGCCGCAGTCGCAAAAATCGACCAAACGACCCTCATTCATATTCTCTTTCTCTATCTGTCCTTTCATTTTCTCTTCTCATATTTTTCTCGTAGAAAATCGATAATCATTTCTCCGACGGATAAGAGATTTTTTTCATCGTGTCGAAAGTAGCACGGCGCAAGGGGAGAAAATAAAGAATTAAAAAGTAGTGAACTGAAGAAAATCGCGACCTTCCTTCTCACCATCTTTCTTTTTTTTTTTCTTCTTTTTTTTTTTTTTTTTTTTTTTTTTTTTTTTTTTTTTTTTTTTTTTTTTTTAATTAAACTGAAGCTTCTCGTTGCTTTTCCTCTTCTTCTGTCGTTTTTTCTCTCCCACTCTTTCTATCCGTTAGGCGCGCACACGGCCTTACGACGTCGCATCCTACACGCGATTTCTAACGAATTAACGAATTTACGTATTACGCGTCTTACGCGTCTTTATTAATGACGAGAAGTATTTTCAACGTCACATTAAATTCTTGTATACCTGCTATTCATTAATTAACGAAATTAAGAAGCACTTTCTTTAAAAATTGTTCAAGAGCATTTGAAACGAATTGCGACATCCGATTTGTAAATGTTGAAAGAGAAATTTATTACATCATATGAAAACCTCGATAGAGCCTGAAAATAGTCAACTGCAACAACGAGTCCGACTCGTTTTAACCGAAATGATCGATTCGATTGCGAGTGAATTGTACTATATCCACAATCAAATGCAAATTTTCAATTTTGATCTAAGCTCACGGATTTCGCGCTATTATCTACAATTTCTCTTACGCGGATGACAAAAAATTAATTATTGTAATTATAAAACAATTGTAATTTTAACAATAAAGTCTAAGACTTTTTTTTCTACTGTCGGTTCTTATTATCCATTCATATTTTACGGACTTATTCGATTAACTTGAGAATTACAAAATCCAATAATCGAGTAAAGCTTTGTCAAGAAACAAAAAAGTGTGATACTGCTAATCCACCGACAGAGTTGGTTGTCAGTTGTCGATATTCATTTATTATCTCCGATAGAGACCAAACAATTGGTTATTATGTCTTATTATTATTATTATTATTATTATTATTGTTGTATTTATTGTTAATAACAGTACGGTGTGGTATTGAATATGTTGATAATGTAAAGGAAGGTTAATGATAAAAGGAGGCCGAACCGATCGAACGATTCATTTCTCGGAAGACACTGAAACATTTGATACGACTAGCATTTGTTTTCTCATGCCATTTCACCCAATATTTTTACTATTCCAAATTTTATATCGCTCTTCACTTTAATTATCAGGAGGCAGGCGATTCCACGCAACTTTTCAAGATTACAATTACAATAAGCAATATCAGGGGGAATGGCCTTGCCAATGAACAAGTGTTTTCGCGACGCCGAAGTAGCAGCTAACCTAAACTAAACTAAACTAAACTAAAGTAAAGTCAAGTAGGCTAAACAAGGCTAAAACTAAACTAAAAGAAACTAAATGGGAAATGTGAAAGAAATAATTAAGTATGTAATAAATCAAGTGGGTCGAATCGTACCTGCGGTGATCTTCACCTCCTGCATGTAAGACAGTGCCATTCTACGATCTTGTTGTAGAGTATCACTGAGACACTCCATCCATTTCCTCTATCACGAACAAGTGATTAGAAG